GTTCCCGGACGGTGCCGATGCTTTAGACGTATCGAGGCACTCTGAGCTTCCGTATTTGAGAGCCTGCATGTACGTTTGTCTGTGGAGATCTTGTACCTGTTCTCTGACGTAGTTGACAGCAACGAGGCGTTGAGGCTGTTCCCGCCATTACCCACGAATGGTCCGCGCGAAGTACCAAGAGGTTCGAATGGGAAACTCGTCTTTGGGCAGTAAGTGATTCACATTCCGATAGTTCTCTAATACTCAACGGGTGATTACACAAGTCTCCTACCTGAAGGCACGCAGGTGTACATCCCGCCTTATTCCATCCATCGCAATCCTCAGTATTTTTCGCCTTCACCCGACAAGTTTGTTCCTGAAAGATGGATGACGAGTTCGGGCTTCGCAGAGAATCACAACCTGGACGCGTTTATTCCGTTTTCATATGGACCTGCGAGCTGTATTGGGAAGAAGCTTGCTATGGAGGAGATGATGATGTTGACGAGTCTTTTGGTGCAGAAGTTTGATATGCGTTTCGAAGAAGGATTTGATAGCGGGGCTTGGCCGCTTGGTATACTTGACCATTTCGTAACGACACGGTCGAGACTTCCTGTTGTGATGACCCCGAGAGCTCAGTAGGCTGACGAAGTACTTGTGTTTCGACTTCGGCGCCTCTCTCGATGCCCCTATTTTGCATTGAGTTACTGTAGATGTCCATATATTATTTATATTTTGGTCGGTAAATTCATAGAGTGTAATAAAACATGTATGTTGGGTTGAGTTGTTTAATGTCTGCCTGGAAGGAAGTCTCGACGGCACAAAGTGGAACTTGAATGGCCGAGTTAGGAACGGCGTTGCCACGGCTCGCTCGGCTTCGGCTTCTGGATGACTCCAAAGCCAAACATTCCCCTGTCTTGTTTAGGAAATGACTAGGGTGTTTCCATCGACATGGTGCGTCTGTCTCCTTCAAAACGCTTTTTTTTGGCCTCAAATTCTTGCTTTTAGGCCGTTTGTACTTATTTTCTGAAAGGAACATGCCGTTTTGGTGATACTTGCAGGAACGAGCATCCCAAAAATGTGACTGGCGGATTCGGAAGTGCGTCATTTCTGCAGTGTGGCATACCCCCCTCCCGTATCAACGTTCTCCGTAGATTCGTCATGGAATAGCAGCAAAGTGGGTACATCAGATTCTCCCAGCCTACCTTTCACGTGAGCTCTCGACCTTACGGAATCAAACCCTGCCTCACGAACTACAGCCAGGAATCCATATCGAAAGATCTGACGGTCCATTCTGATAAACCTTTATGGCCGTTATCATCCTTTGGACCCGCTAAACATGAGCCTCTCCTCCTTACTGGATTAGATGAATCGCCTGAAGAACTGCGGGTCAAAGCGTTCATGGCACTCAGTTCTGGGAATGTCAATGAATACGTATGAAATCGCTCCTTTTTTACTTTCAAAATGTAGTATTCAACGCCAAACAGATGCAGTATGAATCACAGAAGATTGCTGCAGCTGACCAGATATACGCGGTAGGTTCTTCCCTCCATAATATCATTCTGCCTGCTAACAGCGCTACAGAATGTCCGATCTAATCCGCTAGAAGCTTTCAAGGCTGCCATGACAAACAGCCAAAAAGACGGCACGCTTGCAAAGATTGCTGGTGGTTCTGCATCTCCATCAACAAGTTCCGCGTTTGGTCCATCGACGACCTCCACATTTGGCCGGTCTGCGTTTGGCCAATCCGCTTTTGGACAGACATCATTTGGTCAAAAACCAGCCACCACATCGGCGTTTGGACAACCTGCCGCCCGGACGTCAGCTTTTGGACAACCGGCGGCCCAGACATCTGCTTTCGGGCAGCCGTCTGCATTTGGACAACTAACATCTCAGACGTCTGCGTTCGGACAACCAGCGACCCAGACTTCTGCTTTCGGGCAGCCGTCTTCATTTGGACAACTAACATCTCGGACGTCTGCGTTCGGACAACCAGCGACCCAGACATCTGCCTTTGGTCAGCCAGCGTCTAAGCCTCAGACTTCAGCGTTTGCACGACCATCGCAAACCTCTGCATTCGGGCAAACCACTCAACCGACATCTGCCTTCGGTCAGACATCAGTGATCAAACCGGGGACTGGCGCCTTTAGCTCGTACGCTGGAGGAGGTGCTAGTGCCTTTGGTGGAGGCTCCAGTACTGGAGGAGGAGGAGGATTCTCGGCTTTCGCATCACAGCCATCCAGTATATCTGCAGCTGCACCTGCTCCTTCAACTAGCGCGTTTGGCACCCCAGCCCCTCCTACCAGCGCATTCGGGAATCCAGCCCCTACGACATCCGCCTTCGGTAATAATGTCCAGCCATCTACATTTGGCACACCCTTTGGCGGTCAGCAATCTGCATTCGGGCAAACACCAACAGCAGCGCCTGTATCATCAGCCCTTTCCAGTTCCAACCCATCACCGTTCGGCGCCAACAACTCGAATACAAGCGGAGGGGCATTCCCTCCGCCATCCTCCACTTCTGTGTTTGGGGGCCCTCCTCCTCAGCCTCAACAATCCGCTTTCAGTTCCCCTGCTACCGCCTTCCCTCCAGCAATGTCCTCCCACCCCTCCGTATCCATGTCCTCCGCCCCAGATTTCAGCGCAAAGTCTTCTTCCTCGTTGTACAAACCCGGAAAATCACCCTATGATCAGCTCTTGCCGCAGAATTACATGGAGATGGTGTCCGAGGAGGCGAAGGAGGCGTTCAAGGCGGCCAAGTTCCAGTGGGGCAAGATCCCGGATTGGATACCGCCCGTGGAGCTACGGTGATGTGGGTTTTGACATATGTGATGATGATTTTTTTTTCGATGAACTGCATTTGTAGTCGTAATCTGTCAGCTTTTCAATTGCTATGGTCATGAGTTTATGGGATCACCGATCGCATCAAGCGAGTTTTGTGTAAGGATTGCACCTATCGACCGGTAAGCGCTTGATGTCTTCGTCTTAGCTTAATGTTCCCCTCTGCGCCATCTGCATTTCATCTATACGAACTCCAATGTGCGCCCGTAACGCTTGTTCAGGACTTCTATTCTAACTCTGTTCGTTTTATAACAAGTCTACACTCATCCAGATTCGGCACCAGAGCTCTTGGGTCTGTACATCAATTCCGAGTACATATCACTGAAGAAGCGCTGGGGATGATAGTTTCCTTCAATCGAAACGGCAGTTCAATCAAGATATCTTCTTTTCTGTTTTCCGCTGGCTAATCAAATGCAGTTTTATGGCATTCCTTCAGATAACATTGCCTTGTCTAAGGTATATTTGTTTGATCATCTCTCCAAGACACTGCCTTAGATGATACCCCAGCGCTTGTATCTGGGACTTCGTTCAACAAAACGAGGGGCTTAGTTCTGTTCTTGACGGCCTGATATGTTTCACATATGTATATAACTAGATGATTGTACGAGGATTCGTGTATCTATCCCTGTCCATACCGCTAGGCATAATGTCTATCCCTGCCGTTGGCCAAGTATTATTCACCAAATACGCACCTCGTATGCTATTAATGCTTGCTGCTCTCACGTATCGGGATCTAACGACATCATAGCTGCCGCAGCTATTCTTATTTTATGGGACCATTGCCTGACGCTTGATGAAGAAGTAGCGACCATGTGGGGGTCTCTGAATAGACAGATTCTGACAAAAGTCATTTATATGATGAACCGTTACGTCACGGAGGTTGTAATGCTATATACGGCATATGGTTCGTGAGCGTAGTTCATGGCCCCACCCTCTCACTAATTCGTCTTAAATTCAGTATTCACTGGATTAAGAGGGCCAACGGCTAATATGGTCAGTCCTTGGCGCTTCCGTGACAAACTGGCGTTGATGTCAGACCTAGGAGTGAGCTTTACGTGCACCCGCTCGAAGAGACTGTTAAATAATGTCTCCACAGTTGCCCCAAAATGATCTGGTTATTCTCCATGTCTGGAATTTTCCTGGCTAACATTTCACAATGTTGGTCGCACGCTTTCATCTTAGACATGTCTATTACTGACCAGTAGATGCAGTTTTCATAATGATGCGCATCTATCGACTGTGGAATCACAAACAGACTGCACGCAGGGTGCTGCTCGTCGTGTTCGCTGCCTGCACAACAGGCACATTTATTTTAAATGCCATAACGGTTTTGACCTTTTTGGAGACACAAAGTAATCGCCATTCCTTTCCTGATGATTGATTGCTAATACTTTCCCCTAGTCAAGCTACCGCCCAAAGTGTTGGTTTGCATGGTCGCCGAGGTACCGAAGACATTACCTTCCACGATGGGTATCTTAGTGAGCTCGTTATTTCCAGGAAACGTTCGTCTGTTGATCGAAGCATTCACAGCTGTTATTGGATCTCTTTGTGATTTTGGTCTTCGTCTACAATGCTCTGGAAAACCCGCGTCGGTGTGAAAGCGAAGTCTTTGATTCACTGCGGCGCGATGGCGTAAGAATCTATTTGGTGAGCCTACTGCCTCTTCCCTTTGACGTCTGTACATCATTTAAGTTCCATTTTAGCTTGGCTCCTGTACGTTATTACGACCCTTGTTCCAGGGATTGAGTTCTCATCGTTATCTCTAGTCTTCTGGATGCTGCTTTTGATAACCTCTCTTACTGCAGGGGTAGGTGCCAAATTGAAGTATCCCATCGCTCCGTCTGCTAATTTCTGTTAGATTACAGTATATTTCCCCATTTTGACGTATGTGTTGCCGTCTCCGCATGAGAGTAAAGATTCCGACTTTTCCCTTAGTCTCGTATGTTCTCTGAAGGCCAATCTTACCTCTCGGATACACCTTCGCGTAGAAAGTCTGAGACCGTCCAATACTGCGCATCCCGTCAGGGTATATACAGGATATGACGGCCAACATCTGGGATGTCTCTGTTGCTCTTCTCAGGGCACTTAATGGCAAGTGCAGCGATAATAGAGGAAATTCGCCCTATAATCAGCTGTTAGCGCACAATTACCTGGAGATAAGGAGGTAAGTTCCAGGAGGCCAGGATCCCATCGGACTGGATATTGCCGCTAGAGTGATGTGGGTTTTACATATGTGATAATGATTTTTGTAGTAGTAATCTATCAGCTTTCAATTGCTATGACGCGTTATGGGACTGGTCACATACAACACGTTTGGATACGGAAGGCGCCTAAATATGAACTAAGCGCCCATCATCTTGGTATTGGCTTGATGTCTCGTTTTGTGCCATTTAGGGGGGATCTAAACTGCAGCCTTAACATGTGCTGCTTTATTACTATACCCCGGATCGAAACCAGTCATATGTCTCATGTTCATCAGATGATAACACCAGGCATTTGGATCAGTTCAGTCTGCATGGTGACAGATTATCCGGCTGTTTAGCACCCCGTCCTAGGGCTTCGCGGCGTCACCGTTTAATGAGGTTGTACGGGTATCATAACCATGCCGTCGAGAGCTTGAGAAGTACCGTTTTGACGATGGCCCGTGTGTGCGGTATGCAGGTGGGCCTGCGTCTTCTGCGTCTTCATGGCGAGACTCTCTTGTTCAAAGAGAACGGTAGTGCCAAATTGTATCAGTAAATAAGCTATGTTTGTTTTTAATGACAAAGGATATTCGTAAGTAATCCCAGTCAGGCACAGTGAAGGTAGAACAACCGTATTGAAAGGTACTGTACCTAATGACAAAGGATATTTGTGAATAATCTGTAACCTGGTAAGGAATGTAACTAATTATATAGTGAGCACAGTAAGGATATACATACCTCAGTTGGGCACAGCGAAGGTAGAATGACTGAGGTATGTAGGTAACTATGGTGCCTATATAGTGATTGTAAGGACAGGAGTAATGATAAATAAGGTAAGTAAGAACAGTGATCGAAAGAAAGGTCTGCATACGGATATATCCCAACAGTTTTGATGGTACTAAGCGCATACGGTCCGTATAACATTGATGAATTGGAGCTTGCGGCCGTATACTGCAGCGTGAAGCCCTAGGGGCTTGTTCATGCGAGTACTAGTGGTGCATGAAACTCAGACTTAGCCAGGTCGCCGACTGGGTCTCACCTGCCCCATTGCTGTAAAACAATGTTCCACTCCTTTTCAAGTTCTCACCCCCATGAGTAGACTTCTGTCTGCAAGCATTCTCAGTGTGGTAGGCCTCGTCGAGCTCACAGTTTCGCAATCCACAGAAATTAACGAAGTGTAAACAGATGAACCACTTGTATTTCCACAGGTCCGAACCGACGAGGCCAGTACCGACATTGCTGTGCCTTGCGCTCGAGCCTTTGCTACTGTTCTACTTTAATGGAAAACCCTGGTCTGTTAACAACCTACTTATCATCTACAGTGTCTTCTTTGTCTCGCTGGGTCTGTCCATCTGCGCGTACCGGCTGTCTCCTTTCCATCCTCTGGCTAGGATTCCCGGCCCAATTCTCTACAAGGTCACGAAGCTGTACGGCGCATGGATATGCTGGAAAGGCTATCAACACCTTGATTGGAAGGACCTTCATGACGAGTAC